ATAATATATATTATATGTAAAGCAAAACATTATATGAACTACATAGATATCTCACCATTTTATTTGAGCTTAACATAATATTACGCTAAACGAGCAGAGCAGCTTATGTCTGTATTTTGAAGGGTAAACTTTTAAAACAGCTCGCACTTGACATGTGAAAAAGGTTCTCAGTGGACAAGTGTCAATGCTAGTCCCAATCCCAAAGACACACACACACACATACATATAGAGAAAGACAGTGTGCGATGCGGCAGAGATTTATGGTAAAGCGAGTGGTGCACGAATTTGGGTAAGTCTGTATAAACATGAAAGCCGCAGCTTGCTGGAAAATCTTGTGATTGCCAGCTCAGCTGAGTAAGCATGTGTGTGTGTGTGTGTGTCGCTGTCTGTGTGTAGACAAGTCACGCACTTGACGCAACGTGCAACTGGCGCAAATTACATGTTTATGTGGTATACTTTTATTCAGCTTAAATTAAAAGTGGCACAGCTTTGAAGCCAACTCATGCCTAGCAATTAAAAATGCCGGAAAAAAAAGACAACCACAAAAAAAAAAAAAAAAAAAACCACCAAAATGTTGACAAAATCAGTTTTGGGCTGTGAATTCAACGGCCACAGCTCCAACACGTACGACCATAAAAATGGCACAAAATGATCATCAACTCTCACCCAAATGGCGCATTGTGGCATTTACTGCGGGCTAAGAGACAAGCATAAACCCAAACCCGAACACAGATCATGCAAATCATGATGGAAATAAAATTTTTGCTGCTCGCCCGACACACAAACAATTTAATAAAAACTCAAGTTGGGTAGGAAATTTACATGCTTCACAGCACTTGCCTCACAGATACTTGGCATACCCAAGTCGACGTCCCCAGCTGCATTGAAAACGTCTTCTTTGTCTGTTCTCCAGATTACGACAATAGTTAAAGTTTGTCTCACACACACACACACACACACATACACCTAAGTGAGGCTGTGCTAGTGTATATGTTAGCTTTGTCTCGCGTCGCTTAACTTTTGTGATAGCATTGTCTAGGCTGCCCTCAATATCTGCTCTGTCTCTCTCTCTCTCTATCTTTCACTTTTCCAACCAAGCACATTTTCATTTTATTTGTGCTCTCAAAATCGAATTTGTTTCACAATTTCGTTATAGGCTGTGGCTGCTGCTGCCAGACAAGTGCTGGAAACCACGACGAACGGTTAGCGGGCTAAATAAATGTTAATAAGCTCAAGTCGTTGTACTTTTCGGGACTAAGACTCTTGTCAAATCCGATGAATGCAAATAAATTATGCTGTTATTCAAATCAGACCCAGTTAGCTAAACAGCCAGACAGATTTGGCTAAACAGTGTTTGTCTACGCAGCGCTTTAACTTTATCGAAACATTTCGAAACACTTAATAGAAAAGTTGATGTTTGGAATTTGAAAATTGCTAAAATTGCGAAAAGTTAATTGGCAAATAAATGCTATTCAGTTGTTTTCATTTGCTAAATATTCAATGGCCATTTGTTGCATATTTAACTAGTTCAAAGCAAGTTTAAATGGCAATTTATTAAAGCACAAATACTCTGATATTTGCTATGTATAAACACTTTCACGGTTTTCATATGAATTTTTTGTTGGTTAAAAAACAAAAAACAAAAAAAATTTAAGATATCTAAAATTATATTTAATAATAAATATAA